AGCCAAATCACTTGCTCACAACTTTCATGCCAGGATCTCACAAAGTAGATTTTTTTGCTCACAAGACTCCACAGCTTAGAGGGAGCATTGGGGGGACTGCCCAGATTTGCAGAAAAATCTGAAATATTTTTTAAAAATAAACTACGGTTTAAATTCCCCCCTCCCCCCAATAAAATATCTGTACAAGCACAGAGAATGCACCTACCTACTGCATGGTCATTGGTGGCTGTAGAGGAGCTTAGGAGCCATGCCAGATGCAGCAAGAATGTGGGAGGGGGGCAGGGAGATGGGACTCCCCTGCAAATATCGTAGGCCCACACTTTATCTAATAATAAAATGGGGGGGGGAGGGTTATGCCAATCAGGAAAGCAGGAAAACCTAGCCACCCACAGACAAGGTAGGTGTTCAAACACAGGGAACTCTCCTGGTATGCAGAAAAATACAAGCAGGTGCTGTACCACTGAGCTAAGGCACCACTCCAGGTTGGCTTATTATAGGGCTGCCTACTCTGGGATGGAAAATTCCTGGAGATATGGGGGTGGAGCCTGGGGAGGGCCCTAACAGAGCCATTTCTCCAGGACTACTGATTCCCTGTAGTCTGGAAATCAGTTGTAATTCCAAGAGACCCTCAGACCCCACCTGGAGGTTGACAATACAATTTATGAAACCCTATAAGAGGGAGGAGCTTGGTTCTCTCATCTTCTCATGTCAGAGGAGCCAGAACCATTTAAAAGAATGAATAAGTCATTCCAGTCAAGGAGGTACTGCCAGATAGTGAATGTGTTTCTTTGGGTGTTGTTCACAGCCTACGACAACTCTAATCAGGCCTTCACTGCCACAAAAGACCTCAAACTCCAGGCCACTTCCCCCTTTTTGGGGTTTGCATTACGCAAATCGGACAGAACTTCACCTGCGCGGTGGCACTGGACTCCTCTAAAATATTTTTATTCACATTTCAAAATGTACATTCAGGTTTTTGTCCTGCGTGCTAAAGAGTGAAGACACTCATAAGGTACTGATTCGTTTTGACTAAACTGCACTAAAAACAATAGCATGTAAGTTCAGTCACAACTACAGCAATGTACTGAATGTAGGTAATGGATGACTATAGGTGAGACCCAGGTTCAAATTCCGCCTCAGCCATGGAACTCAATAGATTACCTCGGTCTAGTCTGGACACTTTCTCTCAGCCTACTCTAGCTCACAAGGCTGGTGTGAGGATAAAGGAGGAAGAGTGGAATAAAAATATGAGTCAGGACTAAGGTTGCCAATTCTGAGTTGGGGAACTCCTGGAGATTTTGGAGGTGGAGCCTGAAGAGGGGGTGGCGCTTAGCAGGGTATAATGCTCAACCTCAAAATATAAGGGTATAATGTCCACCCTCAAAAGCTGCTATTTTATCCAGGGAAACTGGTCTCTGTTATCTGGAGATCAACTGAAATACCAGGTGACCTCCAGGGCTAGCGATGTAAAATTTCCGGAAATTTTGAAGCTCGGAAAAACCCTTGGTTTTTTTCCAGTTTTCCCCCAGAAAATAACAGACATTTTCAGAAAAATTGAAAAAAATGCTACATTAGCATTTTTTTGGTCTTTTCTAGATTGAAAGTCATTCTGTTACTTTAGGAACATAAAATATGACTATGGACATTTTTACTTGGCATGAAATTATCACAACTAGCATAATAAAAATATAGTATATCAGAACAATTATTACAAACAGAATACCCACCCACATGCAAAAACAAAACTGAAACCTTTTTATTTTCTTCTGACAACAGCACCTCCTAAAGGAAGAAATGCATCTTGTTCTTGCATTGGAGAGTTCAGTTTGTAATTTAGGACTTGCTTGTCCTCAGTGCACAGAAATTAGATCAATCTGATACCATATATATATATATGGCTCTTTTTGTAGAAAAAGCCCAGCAGGAACTCATTAGCATAATAGGCCACACCCAACAGCAAAACCATTAGCATATTAGGCCACACCCTGACTGCACCACTCATTAGCTTATTAGGCCATACCCCCACGTTACCAGAAGGGTGGTCATCCAGCCACACCAACCTTTTGCTTCTTATTCTGTTTACCTTGTTTGTTGTCAAAACCCAGAGCTTTTTTTGTAGCAGGAACTTCTTTGCATGTGTGTGTGTGTGTGTGTGTGTGTGTGTGTGTGTGTGTGTGTGAAATGATTTGGAAAATATTTGAACACCTTGTCTTAAAATATTTTATTCATCATGTTAAAATAAAACATTCCATAATCAATTTTTTTCCTCTCCTTTTTTCATTTTTTCCAATTTTTCAGAAAAAAACAAAAAAGGCTTCAGAAAAAAACCCCGTTTTTTCCCCAAATTTTTCAGTTTTTTCCCCAGGCCTTCACATCTCTATCCAGGGCCCACCTGGAGGTTGCCAACATGTGGAACAGTATATCCATCCCTGAAAACACGACCCCGCTGTTCTCTTCCTGGTTTGGGGAATCTTCGGTAATTAGTGCTCATGCCGGGGTGGGTGGGTGTATAAGACACTAGGCCTCTGGAAAAAACTGAACCACTCAATTTGACCTAACAGAAGATGGCTTTGCTAAAGGCCTCAGGGACTAGAATGAACAAAGGAAGCGGATGAAGATAATCTTAGCTGACCCAGCCGTCGTTCTCTCTGGTTCCTGCAGTCTTCTACAGCCTATCCCTCCCCCTTCTCTTTCGAAATCTCATGCATCTAGAAAATGGTAATTATCAAAGTGAAACCACCACCACCACCCTTATTTCCTCAGAATCCCAAATCCTATTAGATTATCATTTAGTGTACAGGCTTTGTGTTTTATTCAACTCAGCCCCTTTTGTCCCTAAAGCCTCCCCACAATTCACTGGAAAATGATGTACCAAGCAAATGTTCTAACTCATGGGTGTCTTCTTGTTTTGTTTGCTTGAGAAAAAGTTGGCCTTCATCCCTCATAGGGTTTCAAAACTGAATCCAGGCAAGGAGCAATCCCCCCCCCCAAAAAAAAATCATCCAGGAAATGTGTACAAAATGAAAGCTTGCTCAGGAATCCCAACATTTCAGAAGGCCTGCTTTCAATGCTTTCAAAGTTTTGTGCCCATGGAAATGTAGAGGCCACCTCAGAACCACAGTTAGATTTATCAATTTGAATCAGTCTTAAAAAAGACAACAAGAATGCTAAGATGGTAAGAGCCTCACTCTGCCAAGCAGAGGTGGAGATATATACATTCGAAGGACTTTCATAGAATCACAGAGCTGGAAGGGGCCATACAGGCCATCTAGTCCAACCCCCTGCTCAGTGCAGGATCAGCCTAGAGCATCCCCGACAAGTGTTTGTCCAGCCGCTGCTTGAAGACTGCCAGTGAGGGGGAGCTCACCACCTCCCTAGGTAGCTAAACAGACTTTGTCAGGGTCTCTTTAGGTAAAATACAACATAATCCACAAAACATTAAAATACTTAAAGCACAAAGACTAAAATATGATAAGGCCTCCCAGCGCAGATGTGTTTTTAAAACTTGTCGGAAGGCCCATAGTGAGGCTGCATAATAATTCCCACGGGGCAGAGAGTTCCATAGTTTAGGGGTTGCTGCTTTCATATGGGTCCCCACTGAACACACTTGTGTAATAGAAGTTCTAATAGCAGAGCACCCTTAGATAGCCTAAGTTCTTCAAGAAATTTGGACCCAACCTATCTGAAAGTCAAAAACAGCACTCCAGATTGGACTGGGAAACACAATGGAAGCCAGTGTAGAAGGTCTATGAGGCTTGGCTTAAAAAACTCACTGCAGCTAGCCCTAGATTACATTTTGGCTGCCCCATACTGAACCTGGTCAAGTTTCCAGCCCATCTTCAGGCACACCCACACAAAACCCATTACAGCAGTCAATCCTGGATGCTATCATTGTTAATATAACTGGGGCCCGATCAGTCTTTTCAAGTTGCTGAACCAAACTGGTAAAAAACACTCCCTGCCACTTCTGCACATCCAAGGACACAGACAAATTGAGGAACGCTCCCAGATTGCAAAGTTACAGTTTTAGTAGTAATATAACCCTATTCAGAACAGGCCATCCATACTGGGTTTACACCCAATCCACAGGACTTCTGCTTTATCTGAATTAAGTTTCAGTTTATTCACTGGAATGGGACTGAAAAGATAGACAGAACTGAGTGTCATCCAAACTGTGATGACCGCAGACTCCAAATCTCTGGAGAGCTCTCCCAGTGGTTTCATAAAGACCTCAAAACAGCATGTATGTGGTTTCTGGGGTTTGGACTGGGTTTCCATCAAGGACTTAGTCTAAGCGAGCCATTGTGGATTGTGTGTTTGGCCATACAGAAAAAAGTGCTTCCAGGCTGAGAATGGAGTACAGCCTCTCAGAGTCCCAACCTGGTCCCAAAAGCATCCTGCTATGAAATTCTCAAATTCAATCGGCCGCCTACATCAGTCTCATTGAAAGAGCTCCCATATCTTCAGCGCATGTTCAAGGTGTTTCATTGCCCCAAATAAGGTACACCTACACATGAATGAACACACATGAAGCTGCCTTATATTAGATCAGACCCTTGGTCTATCAAGGTCAATATTGTCTGTCCGAGGCCTCTGGTATAGTTCTTTCACATCATTTACTACCTGGTCCTTTCACCTGGAGATTCCAAGGATTGAACCTGAGATCTTCTGTGAGTCAAGCAGATGCTCTATGGCAGAACAGTGGCCTTCCCCTCCCATGGCCCCATCTGTTCACTCCTTCTGTGCTGCCACTGAACAGATTCGAGTCCAACCTCGGCACTGACCTGACTGGGGTGGCACAGGTCTCAGAGGTGATGCCTCCTTTGTCCATGATAGCCAGAAGCGGGGCAGCCCCTGAGGTATGCCAGCACCCTCCTCTCTGTGCCGCCTGCACCAAGCTATTGCTTGGGTGACTCTGCCAGAGAACCACACTCACATATCCATTTCGCTTGCATCCGTTAATTAGTAGCAAGACGTTTGATGCAAAGGACTAAACTCACCTTGAAGCATCCAAGTACTGCAGCATATATGGTCTGTTCCGGAGGGTCAACACTCTACTGCCAGCCTTTGACAAAAAGACAGAGTGTAAGTTACAGTACATGAAATATGCCACAACAAAAGAATGCAGCATGTGCTCAAACTTGACGATGCTTACAAAATCCAAAGAGACTTGTTACTCATCTCGTGATGAAAGACACATGTTGCCTGGTCTCCTTGCAAACTAATCCTTGACTTCTTTTTGGATAAAATTCCCAAAGAGTTTGCTAAACACTAAAACCATGATATGTGGCACACTGCCACATTTTAAGATGTAAACTGTGAGGGTGGCATCCAAGAGGCAGAGTGGTGTAGCGGATAGAATGGTGGACTAGGACCCTGGGAGTCCCAGGTTCGAGTCCCCTCCTCTACCTTGGAAACTCGCTGGGTAACCTTAGGCCTGTCACAATCCTTCAGCCTGGCCAACCTCACAGGACTGTGGCTGTTATGGGACAAATGGAAGAGGAGAGAATGATGTTCTAAGCTGCTTTCAGTCCCAACTGGGGAGAAACGTAAAGTATAAATAAAGGTAAAATGCATACACCACAAACTCAAATACCTAACATTTGAGGTTTAGCAAAGCTTATGCCTCATTCACAAAACTGTAAAGGTCTTCCAAAGAATTAAACTTTTGAGCTAGCACACTAAGTTCTGCAAAATTCATGGTGTTGTGGTTAGTGTGCCAGACTAGTATCTTAGAAACCTAGGTCCAACCCCCTAGAGAGTCCCGATGACCTCGGCCCAGTCATTCACTCATTCTCTCGGTGAGGGTAGGTTTTCCAGTGCTGCTGATCATCACGGTGGGAAAAAAAGGAGAAGACACTGCATTGGAACCTGGAAGTAACACCAAATCTCTATGGTAAAGGCCACAGAGATTTGAAGGGATTCCTAGAGCATTACCTGCCATTTCTGAGTTTGGATGCGATTCCCCCTCAACTTTCTCCCACCATGATGATCAGAATCAGCATGTGAGTGGGTTAGCAGGCAAATGCCCACTGGGAGCACGCTGATGGCAACCCCAGTTTTTGTTGTGGGGCTAAGAGGAAGAAGAGTGTTGTAAGCTCCTTTGGGTCCCCACCGCGGAGGAAAGTGGGGTATTAAATAAATAAAACAAATTCAGGTTGAGGAGCCGAGCTATAAAATCAGGAGTGAAAAATTTAGAACACGGCACACAATCAGCAGCAGAAGAGCTACACAGCATTGGGAAGTCCTCTGCTCTGAACCAGCGATCTTGGGGAAACTCAAACAGCAGTGCTGAAAAAGTAACTATGCAGCAAAACCACCTCCGTTGCCTGACGCAGTGTGCTATCACAACGCCACGTGCTAGAAGTGATAACTAGGGCACTGTTGCGGGATGCCAACATTAAGGCAACTTGCATACTTCTCTGAAAGAGAAAGGCAGGGCAAGAATATTTTAAAATAAAAACAGAGGTTTCCTCCAGCCCTCCCCTGCCTTGCAAAGCTAAATTCCCACCTGGCCTGAAAAACAGCTGCTGGCAATGTTGTGCCTTTTCTTATTCCCCGTTCTTGCGATAGTTTATTTCCGCCTTCAGTATTAAGTACTGTATAAAAATGATCTCAATTCATCTTCGTACGCTCCAGCTGCCCATATTTATCAAGGGCAGTTTCTATTTGCCAGTAAGTGACCCTCCCGGTTTTTGCTTTTTTCTCCTTTTTGGGTTTTGGGGGGTATTTTTTTTTTCTTCCCATATGTGAGTGCGTGTGTGTGCATACACGTGTGAGTGTGTGTGCACCTGTAAGTCATGGCGACCTCTGGTGACTGACCCCTACTGGGGGCCTGGGGGATATTCAGAGGTGGCTGAATAAAGCCTGCCCCCGCCTCCCAACTGTTGGTATTCCAAGGAGGTCTCCCATCCAAGTACTTGCCAGAGTCAACCCTGCTTAGTTCCCGAGATCTGACGCGATCGGGCTTGGCTGAGCTATCCAGGTCAGGGCAAGTGTGATCCATTTTTCCAGTTTTATTCATGTGGATTGCTCCAGTTTTTTAAATTTTATATTTCATTTACTTTATCTGCACCTCGCCTTTCTCTCCAATGGGGACCAAAGCGGCTTACATCATTCCCCTCTCCTCCATTTTATCCTCACAACAACCCCGGGAGGTAGGCTGGGCTGAGAGTGTGTGACTGGCCCAAGGCTACCCAGAAAACTTCCATGACAGAGTGGGGATTCGAACCTGGGTTCCCCAGATCCTAGAGTGACACTCTAGCCATTACACCATGTTGGCTCTCTACCTGATGTTGTTCAGGGCTTCAGCCTCACCCCGCATCCCCAGGTCTCCAGCAGCTGCATCTCCAGGCAGGGCAGGGACACAGCTTATCTCTAATTCACATGCGTGTGAATGCCTGCACCTGAACTACAAGGAAAGATGATACAGATTTTTTTTGGTGATACATGCATTTATTCAAATGCCCTTGATCCAATGACAAAGGATTAATCAACTAAACTTTCTTAATCAATGGATGTCCCTAATTTTTAGAGAAACCAGGGCAACAGAAAATGGGCCTTAAAATAGTAGAGAGGAGAACTAAAAATGATTGCAATTCACAAGTATAGATTATGGTGTGTGAAATAATTCTGGGGCACTCAAGTCATGGCTGGGACCAAGGAAGGGTGGAAACGAAGCATCTGGAACGGACAAGGACAGGTGCATTGGAGGGCTGACCAATTTTAGAAGGTATAAGAGAAGAACAGACATAATTTGGGGCTGGGAAGGAAGGACTGTTGCAAGAGAGGAAAGAGCTATTTTACACGGACAGTGATTAAAATGTGGAATTTGCTGCCAGAGGATGTAGTGACAGCCATAGGAATAAACAGCTTTTAATGGGGATTAGATAGATTCAAGGAGGATATGTCGATCAATGGCTACTAACTATGATGGCTGAGGGGAACCTCCACATTCAGAGGCACTAATCCTCTGAATCCCAGAGCCAGGAAGCAAGGTCAGGGGGCTGCCTCGGCCTCTATGTCCTGTTCTCCGCCATCCAAAGGAACTGGTTGGCCTCTGTGTGAGACAGGATGCTGGACTAGATAGCCTACTGGTCTGACCCAGCAGGGCTCTTCTTATGTTCTTAGCTACCTTTTGGCTCATCCAGCAAAAAGCCTCAGATGGTTCACACATCCGTGTATATCATTAGATTTTTCTACATTTGGGGGTCGATTCACGCATGTACATATATGACAATTTCTGTACAATCAATTACTATACATTAAAGGCTAGTTTATGCACGCATATTTAATGCATGATGAATACAGCATCCCGTGGTGAGCAATCACAGATATACTACCCCCAGAACCTTCCTATCTGTACGCACACCATGCTTTTTCAGGGGTTAGTTCAGTAGTTCTCAAACTTCTTGAAGTGGGACCCACTTCGAAGTTTCCTCTACTTTTCAGGATGTGACCTCACTCTACCTTCCCCCTCCTCCAACACAAAAACCACCAGTCTCTCCCATCAGTCAATACTGAACAGATTTATATTTTATTTTTCATTTTCAGAACATCCAAGTATTTATTTATTTATTAAAACACTTATATCCTACTTTTCCTCTTGGTCCAAGGCGGCTTACAATAATAGTTAAGACACCCTCCACTAACCAAAGATAAAATACCGAGCCACAGATCCCATCCCAGCCCCCCCCCCAAAAAATCAATTGCCAATTGAAACTTCCTCAAAAGCCCTGGCAGGCAGACAGGCCTTGCAGCACCTCCTGAAGATCTCTCAGGAGGGAGCACCCTTCACCTCTTCATGGAGTCCACTCCACAGAGCTGGAGCCACGATGGAAAAGGACCAGGCTCTGGTCAGTGACAAGTGGGCCACCCTGCCTGATGACCAGGGCTTTTTTTAATAAAAAAAGCCCAGCAGGAACTCATTAGCATAATAGGCCACACCCAACAGCAGAAACTCATTATCATATTAGCCCACACCCCATGCCTTCCCTTGGCCTGCCCGGGTGCCCCTGGCTGCGGGGAGCCTGGACAAGCTGGTCCTTGGACAGGTCGGGGAAGATCCTTCCAGGCCCCCCCTGCCTCAGAGTTGCTGGGGGAGGGGGTGGTCTCCAGGCCTTCCCTCTGTAGCCACGCACGCAGAGGTTTTGGCTGTAGTGGGCATGGGCAACTCTGAAGCCAGCCGGAACTCCGTTCCTGTGCGTTCCTGCCCCAAAATACCCCTGCTGATGACCATAGTTGGTGCACAGGTACATATGGGGGGGGGGGAGGAAGAGGAAGGAGAGCTGGATTTATATCCCACCCTTCACTCAGAGCCTCAGAGCAGCCTACAATCTCCTTCCCTTCCTCTCCCTATGACAGACACCCTGTGAGGTAGGTGGGCCTGAGAGAACGCTGAGAGAACTGCTCTTGAGAGAACAGCTCTGAGAGAGCTGTGGCTGACCCAAGGTCACCCAGCTGGCTGCATGTGGAGGAGTGGGGAATCAAACCCTGTTCTCCAGACTAGAGTCCGCTGCTCTTAACCACTACATTATTGAGCAGGCCGTACTTCATGGCCACTTTGCCAGCCTCAGAACCCACTGCAAGAGAGTTGCGACCATTTATGATGCCTCTAATCTGAAAGCCACAGTGAAGTAGTTCTTACATTCCACAGCTTGTCACCAAGTAGAGAGAGAGTGCATGCATGTGTGGACCAGCCCTTGATTGGGAGCTAATCAAGGTTCTCTGCAATACCCTATTCACATGTACAAGTCACCCCAGCTATTATTGTCACTGTGATACAAATGCATGTATGAACCACTCGTTATTTATATCGTGAGTACATGAGCACCCAAGAAGCTACCTTATACTGAATCAGACCCCTGGCAAGGTCAGTACTGTCTACTCATATAGGCAGGGGCTCTTCAGGGTCTCACACAGAGGTCTTTCACATCACCTTCTGCCTGGTTGTCGCTGACTGGAGATGGCGGGGATTGAACCTGGGACCTTCTGTATGCCAAGCAAACACTCTACCACTGAGCTACAATATTTGGGACCAGGATGCATTTTCATAATTTAGCTAGGTCCTTCAGACAGGACCGGACATACTAAACCATCTTTTACAGCAAGGAACATTTAGAAACTCAGGCTACTCCACTAGACAAATACAGATTTTCAAGTTTATGTTTTGTGGCAGATAAAGACGCCTGGGGAGGAAAGGTGACATGATACTTATCAGATCTCAGAAGCTAAGCAGGGTCCACCCTGGTTAGTACTTGGATGGGAGACCTCCAAGGGACTGCAGAGAAAGGCAATAGCAAACCACCTCTGCTGCGGTTGCCAAAAGTTGACTGCAACTTGACAGCACTTTACACACACAAAGAAGCCTGGAAACATTTCTTTGGCAAATCCTCTTGTAATGACTTTTCACAAGGAGTGGGGCTATTCCACCTCCACACACACCCTCCATCATATCCAACTGCATCCAAGAATTACATATTAGCTCCAGGGATCATTTCCTGCAGGAGCGCACAGGAGTGGAGCTCCAGCAGTAAAGAGCCCAGGGGGCAGGCACATGCAACAAGCCCCACCCCCTGCTCCCAGCAGCCCTCAGTCAGAGCAAGAAGCAGCCAGGTAAGTTGCAGAGCCCCCCCTGGTCCCCGGTCCAAAACAGTCCAGTGGCACCTTTAAGACCAAGTTTTATTCAGGTACAAGCTCTCCCTCCTCTGCGAGGACAGATCTGCATGCCCCCCCCAATAGCTAGCAATCCGAAACAGTCCAGTGGAGCCTGAGCGGTGGGTGTTGCCTTCTGACACACTTCCGATGATGTCAGGGGGTGTGGCATATGCAAATAAGTTATGCTAATGAGTTATGCTAATGAGCTCCTGCACCTCTTTTTCTACGAAATGACCCCTGATTAGTTCTATAGGTTGTGCACGGAGAAGCAGAAACCTCTTTTCCGAGAAGATGGCAATCGATGCATGGCGCAACACTGGTTTCATGAGTTTGTATGTACATTTAAAGAGTTTCTAGATTCAGGGAGCCACTGAAGTGTATGGGAAAAGAGGAATTCTTTTCTCCATCCAGTACTGCAGCTTGGCAACTGACTCATGACATAAACAGAAAGCAAAAGGCATGCAGATAATATAAGCAATGAGAAACTCTCGCAGTGAAAGCTTTCCCCCAACATTTCATCACATTCTAAATCCAGGACAGCGGGCAAACTCTAAGACCTTGAGGATCATTGGGGGGGGGGTGTCCCTTAAATTGGAAGGGACAGGGCATGCCAACTGCAAAATAAGAACCACAGAGCTATTGAGATGATGAGCCATTGGCTGGTCTGGAGATGCAGGGCCAGTTACAGATTTTTTGGGGGGGCTCTGAACAGAGAGTTCCCAGAGCCCCCTTCCTGCCCACTCACCCATGGACCTCTACTCTGCCTTGCTCACCAGTTCGCCCACGTCACAGTCATCTGCACTGCCTACAGCCTTTTCCTTCGTGGCATTGGGCAGTGTGGGGAGCTGGATGCACCGGTGGTGAAGCACTCACAAGTGAGCAGGCGGGGAAATGGCAGGGGGGGGGGTTTGGCAGAAGTCGGCCCCACCAGAAGCCTTGGGCCTGGCAGCTGCCCCACCTGGGGGTACGCTGACCCTGACGAGGTGGAAAGTACCATCAGGTTCCAAAATATTAGAGCTTGAGGGCATCCAATTAAGCTGATGGGCAGTAAATTCAGGACGGACAAAAAGAAATCTTTATACAGTGAGTGATTAAAAGGTGGACTTTGCTGCTGGAGGATGTAGTGATGCCCACAGGCATAGATGGCTTTAAAAGGGGATTAGACAAATTCATTGGAGGAGAGGTCTATTGGTGACTACTAGCCATGGTGAGTGAAGCTCTGAATCCCAATGCTACAGAAGCAACATTGGAGGAAGGCTTTGGCCTCTATGCCCTGTTGTTGGACCTCCAGAGGAACTGGGTGGCCACTGTGTGAGACAGGATGCTGGACGTGATGGACCACTGGTCTGTTCCACCAAATGCTCTTCCTATGTCCTTAGGACTGACCCCACAGGGTTTTCAAAGCACAAGACATTTAGAGGTGGTTTGCCATGGCCTGCCTTTACGTGGCAATCCTGGACCTCCTTGGTGGTCTTCCATCCAAATTACTAACCCTGCTTAGCTTCTGAGGTCCTTTCTGCATTTCCCTGCCACTCCGGATTTTCTCAATGTTTGACTTGAGGAACTTCCATGGCAAAACAGCATCCAAATATCCCCGGGGCAACAGGAGGCTGAAACCAGGCAGACCACTGAAAGGGAAATAATGTAATGCAGAATGGGGGGGGGGGAACCTGGCATAAAAAGAAGGCTGAACTCAATTTTAGTGCAAAATTGCTTGGAGGACACCACGGTGAACATGGATTAAAAGGAGAGTGTAGAAAGGGCCTGAGATCTGTCCAGGTCAAGCTAGCCTGGGCCATTTAGGTCAGGGGGTGGAGGTGGGTCTGAAAGATGCTGTCCTCTTGAACTGGAGCTGTCCTACATACATAAGAGCATGCTTGATTCTTGTGGGGGAGGGGGCATTGGGGCAGGAAGTTTACTAGGGAATGTCTGCTGGTCCTCTCCTATGGGAAAAATAAAAAACTGTCACTTGGGGAAATCCTGTCCCTCGCTGCTCCTGATTGGCAGGAAGACTGTGTGGGTATGCTCCGTGTCTCCT